GCTGAAGAGCATCCTCTCCTATTCAAACACTGGAGCATGTGTCCCCGTTACTAATGCACCAAGCATGAGCTTGGAAAGGTCCCTTCCTCATCTGGAAATTGAGGGGGAGGGGGAACATCATGCAAAGACATAAATATCTCTTAACGAGGCTCCAGCTGAGCTGTGTCAGGGCTGTGCACTTTGTTCATCTTTCCCTTAGCTTTCAATTTGCTTTCCAAACATTTCTTTGTTGCAGTTGGCTGGGTTGTGCTTAAAAGAATGCTCACTGTTTTCTGTGATTTCACAGCAGTTCCAAGCACTTCCTCGGAGTGGCCCGGCAGCAATTACCCTGCTGCTGAAGACACTTGTGGACACAGAAAGGCTTCAGTTTTTGAGACAGCCAACAAGCAAGGTTACAACAAATGATGACATATGTGTCAGCCCCATTCACTAGTGATGTATACCCCCAAAGGAAGGGTGAATCCATTTTTGTGCAAATTCAATGCTGCTCTCTTCTCTCACTCACACAAACTGGGCATTCATCAACCGGATTACTTGCCTCAAATGGGCACTCACAGTTACTAAATGGTTTGGGTGGGGGTGGAATTGCTGTGTGTCAAAAAGGGGCAAAGAACAAGGAAAGGACAGGAATCCATCAGGGAAATGAGAGTGGAGCTGATTCACTGAGACAAAATGTGAGGTTCTCAAAAGCCAATGCAAAAGGACAGGGGTTTCCCGCCCCCAGCCCTGGTCCTTCTGTGAATGACAGTATAGAAGCTGACCTGTGCAGCACCCCAGAGGGGACATTTCCACAAGTGTAAGCTACCACAGAACAATGTATCCAGTAGATACACAGAAGGGCTTCATTTCACAACGTATTCATTTCAACATCTTCTTTTCGTCCCCATTTTGATAGTACCTGGTCATATGCCCTTTAAGGAAATAGCTGCCGGCAGGGTCAAAAAGATCAAAAAATTAGCAGGACAAATTTTCATAACTGTGACATGTCTCCAGGTAGAGGTTTTGCTTCTTTGTTTGTTTCGAGACAGGGTCTCACTATGTAGCCTAGGCTGGCCAACTGGAACTCACGATCTTCCTGCCTCAGCCTTGGGAGTGCTAGGATTACAGGCATGTCCTAATCCCAGTTGTAGTTCTAAGCCTGCTTCCTTGACTCAAGGAAATTCAAAATCTGATTTTTTTTTTTTAACTCTATAAGCCTTCAGGCAAATATCATTCAGCCCTTTGGAGGTAGTCTCATTGGATCTAACTCTGAATTAGTGATTGGCAATCACTGAAAAATATGAGGTTGCCATATTTTTCAAAGTTCAGAGATCTTTTACTGTGGGGAATCAAAAAGAGAGGTAGCAGAGAGAGTATGCAATAGAACAGAGGAAAAATTACCAACTGTCACTAATAGTGAGTGGTAGTATCAAAGGGGGTGGGAAGGAATGGTGAAGTAAACACTGCCTCCTGATTCAATAGTGTTGAGAGAGTGAATACATGTAGACAGTGGTGAGAAGGAGACTGTGAAGATGAGTGTGATATAATATATTTTCCAAAGATGGGCACGCTAATCAATCTCCTTCCCACCATGTTAAAGGTGGGAGCTATGTTACATCTTGTATCACTGAGTCAGTGGTGACAGCAAAAGACACACAGTATGACCAACTCAAAGACTATGTTATAAAAGGCTATACAGTTTCCACCTAGGCCTCTTGGGATGTTCACTTGGCACCAGCCAATATGCTGTGAGGAAGCAAAGCCGCCATGTGGAGAGGCCACAATCCCACCACAGAAATGGCTGAGGGCCCAGCCAATAGCCAGCATCAACCACCAGGCAGACATTCAGGTGAGCAAGCCTTGGGACACTTCCCAACCACCCACCTTGGAGTTGACACAAAGTGAAGCACAGCAGAGCTGTTCCTATCCAGCTCTGCTCAAATGACAGACTTATGAGCAAAGTAAGGGTCATTGTGTTAAACTACTATGTTTTACAGTGGTTTGCTAGATAAGAATCAACAGGTAAAACAATGGACAAAGCCCTCTGACACTGGAGTTATTTCTTGACACAGAATAAACCAAACCCAGTCTAAAAAGAAATGGGACTTGCCTATCTTTCTTGGATTTTCATAATTTGGGTTGATTCTTTATTAATTTTAGTCTTCTTTCTTGATCTCAGATTAGTTTAGCTATGGATATTTTCCAACTGAAATGGTATGTGTGTATCCAGGTAAATAGTGCTTGGTACAAACTTGGTTTCCAATATTTAGTAATCAGAAGGTTCTTGCACATACATACATACAACTTAAATTCTGTCTTCTCTCTAAAATGAAACATACAGAAGATCTGGCAATACTGGATTTGCATTCCTCTATAACAGTAACTCACTCACAAAAACTCTCCTTTCCCCAAGGCCGTCTACTCTCTGTTGCATCCTGCCTGTTTCACTCAAGCTCATCCACTCATACTTCCTTCCTAACCTCTATAGATATTTGGGTTTGTGGCATGTAATTAGCCAACAATTAGGATTTACTCATACAGTCAAACAAAAGTTAATACCCTTTTGAAAAGAAAAGTTTAAGATAATTAGAAAAACAAAGTCAGAATAATAGAAAATCTAAAGTTCAAGTCTGAAATTAAGTAAGAAAAGATGAAACAAAATATAGAGGGAAAAGCCCCAGGAGGAAGTGATGGGGATGTCAACTTAGGTTATATCAAACAGTCTGATGCTATTGTCCCTTGATCCTTATGCCCAGGAGCGAAGGCTTCCTGTTTCATTGTTCCATGGAAATTATGCTCTCACTGGAAGCAAATTACATGCAATCTAAAGTCTACTAATAAAATCACGTGCACTCTATGTAAGAATCCTACTTATTTTTGGTATACTTGCTTAAGATACCTTTGTCATGCTAGTATATGAAAAACCTCAAATAGTTTCTAGGAAGAGGATTCAATTTGAAGTATTGGAAAATGGAATCATCTAGCCTGGATGATCTTTCTATAATTGAAACACTTGTTTTTATTTATATTATTTGAGATCTTTCATTTTATTAATGAGGTTTTAAATAAGCTTTCTTTCTACTTAACATATTGGTATAATTTTATGTGTCCTAAAATCAGTAGAATATTTAAGAAAATGGAACAGGAAAGTATGTCAGTCAAATAAGAAAATGATTATCCTTTAAAAATGAAAATAAGGATTATATTTCTGGAGGAACAGAAAACGGAGGAGAAATCCTATTTCTTATGCATGGAGAACTATCCATCTTCAATTTATCTCATAGTGGTATTATTCACTACTTTGAGAAAAACTCCATTTTTCAAAATAAATTTAAAGAGCATTTAACAAGTGTTAAGCAATCTTGATGAAGAACCGACAGCAATGTGAAAATATTCTGCAGTTTAAAAAAATCTGTTTGTGGTGGGTCCATTATGACAAGTTAAATCAGGATTCTGCTTTTAGCCATTCCTTTGATATCAAATTGGGTGGGCTTCTAGAAATTCTACTATTTTGACAAAAATAATATCAAGTTCACTTTTAATGTGCACCTTTTACTTCACCACAGTACGATTTCTCATGTTCTATAGAACATTCAAGGATAGTTGACAGGCATAAAACACTCCTCACTTTACAAAAATGAACAGATTTTTAAAAATGGGCAGAAATGGGTATTTAAATAAGGCATTGTCAACTTTATGCCACAGGAGAGTAATTCATTCTGCTTGTAAGGCCTGTGTTTGGGATCAAAGCCTTGGTTAACAAATTTAATGTCCAAGACACTGCAGGAGAAAATTTATATACATCAGTGACGTCAGCAAAGTGCAATCCTCATAAAATTTTATTTTATTGAAGTTCCAGAGTACTTCTTTGGGGAGCAAAGGATTAATTTGTGCAAAAGCAGACAATTGGGCTGTTTCAAGTTTTGTTGTTTTTTTTTTTTTTAATTACTGTCGCTTTATTTCTAGCAAAGTCATTAGCTCAGTACCAGAATCGGGGTTCAAAATGCATCTGAGCTAGAACACTGTGGAAGTTGAACTGAGAAGGCAGGGATAAAATTCTGAGAAATGCACTCTGAAATCCATGAAGAGCATTTAAATTCTACTCAAACCATAAAACAAGGCCAGAACAAGGAGAGTTTTGATCTGGACTTTTCTGAAAGGGCAGTAATGTTGGACGAATTGATATGTAACAAAGAGTGTATATTCATCACAGTCTAAACGTTGGTCAGGATCGAAGACGTCCAGGAAACCTAACCACCTTCATTCTGGTGGTTTCACAGGTTTTTTTTCCTCTGATAAAGACACCTATAAACAGGCGCCATCGCTATTCCAGCTCCCCATAAGCACACCGGTAGCAAGCAAAACAAATTAACTCTGCTGCACATTAAAATAAGTGAATAATTTTCACCACTGAATAGGGGATTCAGCCTGGAGCCCTTAGGCTTGGAAGGTCTCTAAATGCGGCTTCCTAAACTGCTCTCAGAATAACAAAGTTCTTAAGTTACTCTTAAGATTCCCTCATTCATCTAATGTAGCTGACATCAGCCCGGCGCCTGGGGGCTCCAAAATAGCCAAGGACTGGGGACATTGTGAGAGATTCCCAGCCCTAGACTGCCAGAGCGCCAAGTGCAAAAGCTTTCTGTCCCCCACCCTCGCTGTCCTATTAGCTCTCCAAAATCCGGTCCTCTTCTTTCCCACCAGGGATGAAGGGATGAAGGGTCAATTAAGCGAGGCGCTGAGGACAGGAAAGCGCTCTGGGATGGAAAACTTCTTGGGCTCACCGGTGCTCTGGCTCCGCGTGGCGCGGTAGAGGCGGGGACCCCAGTGCGGGCGCCCTGGACTCCGGGGTGCAGAAGCCGACCTGCACCCTGCGAAGGTGAGGGTGCACAGGCTGCGGGCGCGGGGTGGCCAACCTCTCCCAACGAGTGGCAGCTGGTGGCCCTGAGGCGCCCCGCACGCGCGCCCTTGTCGGGGTTAGCAGGACGCCCGCGGCCGGGGGAGCTCTGGCCAGGGCCGCTTACCTGGAGGTAGGGCCGCCCGTGGGCCACCCCGGCCACGACGATGTCTGCGGCGGCCATGGTCCCGGTGGGCGAGAAGCCGAAACCCACGTAGCCGGCGGTGCGCACCTCAAGGCGCACGGCGAGCCTGCTGCCCCGCTGGCCCCAGCCCAGCCAGTACTTGCCCTCCGCGTCGAGGAGCGCGCGGTGCGGGTAGGAGCGGCCCGAGCCCCCCGTTGCCGCCCCGGGGAGCAGCGCCCACAGCAACAGCAGCAGCCAGCCGTGCATCCTTGGCGCCTCCTGCCCGCCGCCACCTGGCTCAGCCTCTGCGGAGCGAGGACAGGAGCGGGGCGGCTACAACGAGCGAGGCCAGAGACCGCCCCTGGGACCGCCCGGGAGGGGCAGGACCTGCGCTCCCCGCCCCGGGCCGCGGCGCGCCTCGTCTAGCCTCGTCCGGTCCGGTCCGGCGGTCCTCTGGACCGTCTCTGCGCTGCCTAACCACGATCCATCTGCTGACTTGGTCCTGGAGTTCGGTGGGCAGGAAAAACGAGGGGCTTTCCAAAGCACAGAGGAAAAGGCAGAAGCCCAGAAAAGGGGCCAGGAGCAGTGGGAAAAAGGAGCAGGGACAGAAGGTAGTGCTGGAGGGTTGGCACTTGGAGAAAGGGAGCATTCCTAGGGGAAAATAAATGGAAAATTGATGGGAGAAAGCACATGTAACCCCAGAGGTGGGGCAGTGAATAATCAAAGGGGATAGTCCTGGGATATAAAGGATGGAAAGTGAAAGTCCCCTATAGTGTAACCTCGAAAGTCTCTTGCCATGGATTTTTCCAGAGCCATTGCACCCAGAGATGCTTGTTTCCCAACCTTCCAGCGCACTTCCATCAGTCTCTTGCCCAGGGGACACCAAATGTTGCTCCTCACAGCAGGAGCCAGCAGAACCCTAGCCTTCCACCCTAGTTTGGTTTGGTTTGATGGTGACAAATTTGGTTTGGCTTGTTTTAGTTTCATGGTGACCGAAAAAAATTCCGCCTAATTACTTTGCCATCAGCAGAGTAGGTCAGGGTTGATTTTCATTTGAAACCCTCTTTTCCTGATCAAGTTCTGGCCATAGGCATTTTAATCAAAAGTTTGTTTTGTTTTTCCTCTACCTTTGAACACAGCTGCTGTCTTCAGAATGCTCAATACTCCACATAGCTACTACAAATTACACCCTGTATTCGTTAATGCATACTCTGTCATGGTTTGGAAAAAAAGCTCTATGGTGGTTTATGAAAATACAAAATAGAAAAACAAACGAGGATATTAATACGGATAAGAAGAATGCTACATATGTATTCTGTTTACTAGATCTGGAAGTTCCACACAAGTCACCTGTACTTCTTATTCTGTCTTGTCCGTCATATTTCAGCCTTTTTTTTTCTTGTGCTTATTTTCTCTTTCCATTTCTTTTCCATAACTGTGCTAACTTTATACATCTAACCCTGTTTTTCTAAGGACTAAGTACATTTGACCATGTCTGAAAGGCAACCTTGGCATTGGCCTGCTTACCAGAAGCTTTCGGAAGTTACTTAGGAAAGGATTTGTTCCAAGGAGAGACACAATCAAGGTCCACAGTGTTGGCCAGTGGAGATCAGTACTGGAGAAGAGTGATGTTGAAACCTTGGGACAAGGTCAGAAATAACGGAATATGTGACACCTTAAAAGAACTGAACCAGTTAGAGGCCACCAGGTTCCTTTGCTCCAGTAGGACTGGATGGGCAGATATCAGGGGCAGCAGTGTCAATGTAGCAATGTAAGAAATTAGGTTTCTACAAGCACCAACGAATTGGCTGCTACTACTGGCTTCAGCCATGAATAAAAGGGAGCTGTGGAAAGGGAACAAAATGGTGGAAACCATGACCAAGAGAAGCAGACTGAGGCACCATGAGAGGCATGCTTACAAGACTGAGCAGCTTCTCATACCCCTGGACAAGGATTTCAGGGCATTTAAACTACTGCAGAGTGATCACAAGCAGACTTCCTATTTTGTGACCCTTTTATTCCTAGCATGGAGGAACATGGAAACCAACACATCATTACTGTCTACCTCTTGAGGTTCCTTATATAGATCCCAAATTCACATTTGCCAGGACATTTTCTGTCTCCTTAATGAAGATGAAATGATGTCATGCTTCTGGAATCTATCACCACTTACTGTTCTGTCTTCATCTCCCATCACTCTCTTTTCCTCACCCATTGGCCTCTGGACACTCCATTATTGCCAACACATACTGTCTCTTTTCAGATTGCTTGCTCTGCCAGGTTTGTCCCTTCTCCCCTCCTGCCTTTGAATTGTTGACATATTTTCTGATCCCCCTTCCACACTTCACAATCAGATGGCATCTTCTCCTCCACAGTGGTGTGATAGTGTTGGGAATATTCTGTCCAGATGCCAAATGGCACTCAGGTTGCTTGGGTGCACTTCTTGTCTTGTGTATGTTTTCCTCCAGGAGCCTCTTTAGACCAGGACTCACATCTGGTTCCTAGTTTTAATCCATTGCCTAGAACACAGACAGGCACACAATAGGTGCTTATTTGTATTTGTTGGAAGAGTGAATAGATCCACGTCTTGATCCTACTTCCACCTCCTCTTAATAAAGCTACACTACAGAGGAAAAGTTTGGGCCCCAGATGTGACTGAATGTTCTGCCCTGCATTGGTATTGAGGCAAAAATAGAAAAGACCATACATGTCTACACAAAAGAGAAAGTTTTAAATTGTTTTTATTATTTCATTAAGATCATTAAGTATGAAGTTATTGCCTTTAGTTGTGACTGGAATTGCATCTAAATCACTAAATATTCAAGAAACATTAAACCTAATGTATTCATCTCCAGATTAGATAAACAAACAGAATATTATTAGCGTAATTCATACTCAAGAGACCCACTGAACTTTGGCATGAATTAACCCAGTAACTTAAGAGGAAATAGAAAATTTATCTATGTGTTCTTTGTAAGCTGCCTGAGTTCCTTCGTTTAAAACTCTATACTTCAATTGCACACAGGACTTGCATTCGCTTTCCCCATTTGGAAATCAATTACTGTATTACTTGTTGTCTTAAATTTGTATGGAAAGCAGGAAGAAGGCTGGGGATGTGGCTCAAAGGAACAGTGACTGCTTAGCATGCATAAAACCCTGGGTTTAATCTCTAGCACTTCCATAAAAAAGAAAAAAGGGGGACTGGATTCTGATGGGGGTTGGGGAAATGGGAGGAATGAGGAGGAGAAGTAGGAAGAAAGCAAAGACCCATTAAAAACTCAGAGTATATGGCAAAGAGGAAAATGAAATCAGTGGTAAGGGGTCTCAATTTTATTTTTTAAGCTATAGTTTTTGTAAAAATGAAGCACACTTATTTAAAGAAAAACATCAGGAAAAGAAAGTATGAATAAGAAAATAAACTAAAACAACACACACACACACACACACACACACACACACACACACACAAATGCCTACATATCTACCACTCCAAAATTATTTTCGTTTGCATTCCTGGAACAGCATTCCAGAATCCAGTTCCATTAAAGCATTTGAGGAACAGCCTGTTGGGTAAGAATTTGCAAAGAAACAAGTGAATTAATTTTGTAAGACTCTACTTAAAATAAACAGAATGACTAAAAACATCCTAGCTACAATCACATTTGGGTGTGCGGTGGGGGGAAGCTTGTTTCCTCCCCGTGCAGCCTTGGGACACATGAAAAAACAAAAGAAACAGAATAAACAAAACTAGAAACTCAGTGAGTACCTACTTAAGTTCAGGACATTCAAAGAAATTATTCATTCTTAAAATGAATCATTGTCTCACACTTTTCAATCAGGGATTTAAAATATATTTATTTTGATTCCACTCCCGTTCTGATACACAGCTTGCAATCAGACTGTGTGACTGAGTTTCCTCACCTCCAAACCCTCTGTTCTTAAGGTTTATTTATATTTCTATATTAGTCAACTACAAGGGGTTGGGACTTTAAAAAGGGGGAGATGGTGAGGAAAAAAAATGAAGCCCTACAGACAGCTGGGAGTGAGCCAATGAAAATTGCCATTATGAGCTAGGATGGTCTGCAATAGGGTTTTTTCTTCTTGGGAATATCACACTTTTCCTGTCTACTTCTACCTAAGGTGTAATGATAATACTAAATATTTATATAAAGTTTCTGTGTTCTAGGGGGCACAGGGAAAAATATTTATATAAGTAATCTCAACAGTTCTCTGACTTTCAACTAGGGAATCCAAAGCATTTTCTCACTTTAGTCTATAAACTCAGCCACTTGTGTGGATAGGTGACTGGTTCAAGTTCATAATATGAGTCAGTGGCACAAAAGACAAAAATAGAACTTTGGTTTCTCACTCCTTTTTTTAAAACTACATACTTTCTCTTAGTTCCCACCTCATCTCCAATAAAATGATAATTTTAAAGCTACCAGTTCATCACTGTGAAACAGTCTTTTAGCAGTGTTGATATTTTTCACATAAGCAAGATGCTGTGATCTACTATCAGCTGAGATTATACTCCTCATTTTAATAAAGGATGCTATTGTTAATGACAGGGGTGAGGATGGAGAAAGTAAAGCTATAGTACATTTGTGCCTGAACTGAAACTTGTTTAACTGAGTTTTTTAAGTTTCAAATTGAGTGCCAGTTGGCACTGCAAAGCACACTTAGGCTCCTTTTTCAGAAAATCACAGATAGCAAACCAATTGGTACAAAACCTACACTTTAGTATTATCAATAAACTATGTCCTGAAATAAAACTTTCCAATGTAAAAAGTCTGTGAAAGCAAAAAGGAAGGCTCCTTTTTAAAAAACCAGAAATGCTATCTGTTAGAATTCCCTTTTACAGAGAAGCGTGATGTGTATCAACAACGTGTTAGGGAAGAACTGACTAAGTACTCAACAGGCATTACTCAACTAAGTACTCAACAGGCATTACTGAAAAACCATGTGTTAAAAGTTGTCTGGGGGCTTGATGAGAGCAATATGCCTTGGGATTGTGCTTGTTATCAGAGTGATCTTTAGGAATCACTAAGAAAAATATCCAGAGCCTCATATTTTGGCAAATCTCACTTCTGAAGGGACCAGGCAACTAAAGCTGTCAGTGACTATGAGGAAGAGGAAAGAGGGCTAATGAAAAACACTGAGTTACTCAATGTAACTCAATTGGACTGTCAGCATTTCAAAGACCTTCAGAGACTTTTTTCCATGCTCTTATCTTGCAGTAAAGAACTAAGTCCTAGAGAAAAGTAAATTGTTCAGGGCTGCAATCTTTTACATTAATACCAACAGAAAGGTTGACTGCCTGACAAAATTACCAACAATGTCTGCCCCCTCCCTGTCGTTCCCTTAAT